CCCAGGTAAGATGCTTCTGACGTTGTTTCTGTTTCAGAAGTGGCTTGGTAGCCCTTTTCCTGAAGACGTCTGAGCGTGGTGACTCTTGATGACTGACTCCAGCTTCAGTCCACTCCTTGTGAAGCTCTCCCAAGTGTTTGAATCGGCTTTGCTTGACAGTATTCTCAAGCTTGCAGTCATCCCTGTTGCTTGTGCACCTTTTCCTACCCAATTTCTTCCTTCCAGTCAAGTTTGCATTTAATATGCTTTGATACAGCACTCTGTGAACAGCTGCTCTTTCAGTAATGACCCTCTGTGACTTACCCTCTTTGTGGTGGGTGTCAATGATTGTCTTCTGGACCATTGCCAGGTCAGCAGTCTTCCCCATTATTGTGGTTTCAAAGAACAAGAGATACCCGGAATTTATACTGTAGGGATGCTCATTTACTGAAAAAAAGTTTCACTTTTTTAAATAGGTTACAAAAAAATTTACTTTTTCACGATATCTTTTGATTGAGATACACTGAAGAAAAGTACAATTAAATATTCTAAGTATATTTGGCTTATAGTTGTGATTAATAATATAATATAAAAGTATAACAAAGTACAATATAAAAACTACTAGTAGTTTAATTCAAAATGTACTCTCATGAGCTAAAAATAGTTTGAAAGTATATAATTAGTAAACTAACAGTAAATGTACAACTTTACTTGTAGTATAGTTCACAGTGTTGTTGCAATACAAAAGAAAAACTATACTTCACAACTAGTGATGGTTCACTTCACTTAAAATTATACTTTTATTGACTAAAAAGTAAGTACTTAAATAGTGCACTTACAAGTATGCTATTGGTGAATTCATATTAGTATACTTGGGAAATATACTTTAACTTCAAGTTTACTAAAATTACATTGATTGATTTTAGAGTAAAATGTGACATGTGACCTGAACAATGTCATGAGGTTCAATAATGAAACTATGCATGCAACATAAATTAAGATTTTGTTCCCTTGTTTTAGTAAATTGTGGCCACATTGTATTAATTATTTCCTTTATTTGTATTAAATCAAAACGAGGGAATTAAATAGTACAACATGGCCATGATTTGCTAAAATTATGGAACAAAATCTTAATTCATGGCCACAATAAATATATTTTTGTCTGCATGTCATGTAAAATACTGTACATAGCAAACACAAAACTGCATTAGAAATATTACATTTCAAATATTAAAATAAAATATTTTTCTCCAGCCATAATTTCTTCTGCAGAAAATAAATGTCATTTCAGAGGTGGAGAATGCTTTTACTTTTGATGAAAAGACTTATAAAAGCTTGTTTTGAATGACGTGCACTGAAAAATTCAGAACAGTACGACCTGTTTCATAGCAGCGTGTATTTATTTCAGTGCCCACATTTACAGGCCACATTATTCACACCGACTGTGTACGCAAGCTTCGCATTTGCAGGTGCGAGTAGAAATTTAGTGTCTATTTTTGTTGCATGTAACTGAAGCAGAAAATACTGTAATGCACTGCAAACCTATTTATCAACACAGTCTTGTGCAGCACAGGCTTTTATGTAGCAGCGTGAAACTACTCACCCATTATTAGATAAGAGACATGCACATGAACAGCACTTTCTGTTCTGAATAACCATTTTATAATTTATGATGGTTATTAAAGGAAATACTCAGTAAGTAACCCAGAAAACGCTATATTTTCTGTAAAGAGCAGCAGCACGTGTACAGACGTTCTTTGTGGCAATGTGTTTTACTGCTGTTAAGTGAATCACGCCAGCGACTAAACAGTCAACTTTACACTGTTCCTGTTAGTAGCATGAAAACCATCTGTTATCTATATTTTCTTTATATCTATAAATCTCTATATATATATCTATAAAGCAATCAAAGAGCAGTGTGAGTCTATCAGTGATTTGATTTCTGCATTTTCGCCGAAACTTCTGTTAAAATCAATGACACAGTTTGTAAACTGCTCAACGAGTCTCTTATTTACATTGTGTTTTACCTGTATTAGTTACGATGAATGTACTGGTCAGATTGCGTTGCATTAAGGAGATCATTAGCTATGTTTCCATCCACCTATTTTTATGCACATTTGGGGATATCACATAAAAACGCTCAATGTAAACGCAAAATGCGCATAAAAAATGTTTGAGTCGAATAATTATTTTTCGCTAAGAAAACATGCGCATAAAATACAATGGAAGTACATAAAATAAATAAATTCCTCGATGCGCATCAAAAAAGTCATGTGACTTTGCGTGATGGGAAATGTTGTTTTGGTCATCTTGAAGCCAAAGTCTGTCATCAAAGTGGTTCGGTATAGCTATCTTTCATGACTGCGTTCACAAACAGCAGTCATCCGCCTCTAAAAGCAAGATAACATGACCGTGTTTATTGCATTCCGTCTGCGCGCTCTGAGGAGCAAGTAATTTATTATATACAAAAATGATTCGCAAATATTTTATGCAATATTCCAATTTTGCATATAAATTACTTTAGATGGAAGCATTGCTACTGTGATCATCGCATGCCCAGTAAACATGACAGTGTTTGGCTGCAACCTTTGATGTGATGGAAGCAGTTCTAAATATATAACGATATAATCAATACTTTTCACCATTAGTTCAGCTTGGCGGCTGTTTAAGTAAAAATGCAGTAAAAGTTTTCAAGAGAGTTCCACATGTAATGCTCGTTTCATATGCACAGATGTTAGCCAATCATAAAAGTGGGCATTTTCATTAAGTATCACAGCAGACACGCCCCCCTCTAGCGGATCATTCAAATCAGAGGCTAAAATCGGGGTAGAAAATTACTATTTATACTTTACGGAAGAGGATTAGGGCCAAGCAATAATAAAAAAATAAAACCATCTCGAGATTAAAGTCGTTAAATTTCGAGAAAAAAAGTCGAAATAAAATGTTGAGAATAAACTCATTAAATTATGAGAAAAAAGTTGTTAAATTGCAAGAAAAAAAGTCGAGATAAAATGTTGAGAATAAACTCATTAAAT